TACCGATACATATGTAACTGTTAAGTTATGATGGAATAGCAGAAGGAAAAAGAGACTATGAAAAAAAAAATATGTAGATTCCCAGATCGTTCTTGTGGGCATCTTGTAGGAACCAATGAAGAGTATATGAATAGGAAAAGTGGTATTATTCTCATAAATGGCACATTTAAATACCCCCAGAAGATGGAAGTCATATTTGAGTGTTGGTCAGCTTTGCACTTTGAAAAAAACACTGTACTAGAAGCTGTACTGTGGCGTGATCCAAGAAGAAATCTGTCTCTGAAAAATCAGTTCTGATGCTTTCTGTATGACCATCAGGGATTTTCTGTGTGATCTCCAAGTGGTTTTCAGGCAGGGTTAGTTTCTTTTTTTTTCTTTTTTCTTTTTTTTTTTTTTTTTTTTTCTTTGTGGGTTTTGGTTGTTTGAGGATTTTGGGGTTTTTTGGGTTTTGTTTAGATTCTGGTTCTCCCAAGCGTGTTGGTTTGAGCACAAAATCAATGTTATGTCTGTCAAGCCTTAGCCTTCTTTGCTTCCCTTGTCATAGGAGTCTGTTGCTGCCATATACGTTGAAAGCCTTTAGGAATCTGTTTTTTTTAATCTTCTTTCCCCTTAACCTAGGAGGCATCAAAATAACTGTATTTGCATGTACGTATGTATTTATATATCAACACAGACTATACATTTCCTGTATAAACATTGCTCGCTTTGCCAGTTGTAATCCTAGAAGAGGGCAACTAATTGTACTTACCTCTGCGAACATGGACAACTGGACTTCCAACAGGAGTATTTTTGTTATGAGGGGTTATGAGTATGCAACAGGGTGTTTGCACCATATTACTGTGTTATGAAAAGAATTTGTTTATTATATGAAACAGTTATTTCAGTGAGAATCACTGATTTAACCCAGTAAATTTTTCCAGATAGTAATCTCCATTGGAGTTACTCTTGTGCAAAGGCTTATGGAAGCTTTGGTCTGTCATTGCAAAGTGTTTGTCTCTGAGATACAATGATCATTAGGTTGCCAAAGAAGTCATCATCTTAACTGGGAAAGAAAAAAAAAAAAATTATTTAAATTGTTTACAGGAAAGTTACTAAAACAAGTGCTTTTGAGACTTTAATGTAAAATGGAAAAATTCTATTAGGAGTCCCTGTTGGTTTGGTTTCAGTATTATTCAGTGACAAACCACAAAGTATAATAACACAAAGAGCTAAACATAATGTGAGATAGTTAAGCAAATGATCCAGATTTAGACTTTCATCAGCCTATGTGCATAATTTGGAAATGTGTTAAAGTAGTTTTGACTGTAGTTGCTGTCTTGAGTCATGTTAATAAAACTTTTTCAGAAGCTGGCTAATGCTGGTTAGATTGCAAGTGAATGGAACTATAAATTTGAACCCCCAACTTTATGTTGTAAGTTATAAATTAGGTTTCAGTTACTGTAATTCTGTATACATTTATTTTGTGTCTATCTACAATGTTTTTCCAGTTTGAGACTGTAGAGACAGACAGGTGTGCTAAACCTTCAAGATATTTCACACTCTAGTATTTGTCTCTAACTCTAGATAATAAGAGGGCAATTCTATTGGAATAATTAGGGTAATTCTTTTTCTCAGCCTTTATCTGGTCAAAGTATGTGAAACACTGCCTAGTTATTTTTCTTGTTCAAAACAGATGTTCCTACATCAAAAACTCCAGTAACAAATTTTTCTTTTCAAAATGAGGGGATTATTTTCCTTAGTTATCTGTCCCTGCAGATTGCTGGCATGTGATGTGTTGAAAGATTTTTACGTACACTGCCAGCAGCAGTCTGTAAGTTTGCTGCCTTATAGGTTGACATAAATATGACAAAAAGAAATGACTTTGTCTGTGGGGATGTAGAGATGTGTGATGTGTTAGTAGAATTGCAAGGCTTCTCTCCTTGTGGTTGATCCTGGCTCACATCAGTGGGCTGCAGCTGTTCTTAACTCATATTAAGTTTTCTCTCTCTTAATTTTTTTTTTTTTTTTTTTGTAGCAGACTTGATGTTATGGGAACTCTTCAATAAAATCGTTCTCTTAGGGGAAAATAATGTTATACATCATGCTAAAAAATGGCTATTGTCTTTTTGATGCCAATTTAGGAATTACTTAAAAATGTTGAAGTAGTAACATCTGTTTTTATTGCTAGATGCATAAGAGGTGCATAAGCTCACTCTGATTTTTATCTAATTTTCTTGATTCACGTACTAAGTCCGTCCCATCCTTTTTACCTCACACAGGGTATAAACATTGTATTTAAAAGTGCTAACAGGTTCTTTTCAAGAAAAAATCAACTTGCTAAGTTTTGTGCTGGAGGAGATACTTACTTAGTTTTATTCTTTACAGCAAAACTTCATAATGATTCAATTTTCTTAGTTCTAAAAAAAGTGATATCCATGTTGGGATCTGTGGATAAAATGCACCTTGCAGTATTTTCATATTCTTTATACATTACTCCATCTTGAATAAATATTAGATAACTGTCAATTCTACAGTGAACGAAAGCTTTTGAGCATGCAAATAATGAGGCAATGAATGAACAGATCCTCCTGTGAGCAAATGTTGGGGACACTGTATTGTGTGAGCCTCTTGGAGATAATATCCTAGCCAGGACACTTTTCTGAATAGCTTGAGAGCTTGACAGTGTCAATGAAAACACTTTTTTTCTTGTGTTCTTAACAACTGCCTCCCTTTGCTGTGTAATTGTCATAGTATTTCAGCTCTTTCATTTTCCAAAACACGCCGAACTTTTTTAATTTGATCCGTTTGCTATACAAAAAAATGTCTTGTCTTTCTGTTGTGCCAATTATATGTAGATTTAACACCAAAGTACCCCACTTCAAACAGCTCAGTTTAACCAAGTTGTATTAATCAGGAGAGACTGCCCATTAGGAGGAGTCCATAACTGAAGACTAGGGTGTAATTTTGATGATTGAAAATACTAAGATTTTAGGACACGTGTACACAATTTTTCTGCAGTCTGGTCCCTGGGCTTATTCTCTGACATCTAATGCATATGTAATGCTCCATCGGGTATCTTCATTGTTTTTTTTAATCTTGGAAATGAGGGCTGGGGTGGTCTACTTTTTTTTTTTTTTTTCTGCTGTGCTAGCAGTCTTTGAAGAACAGTGTTTTCAAACTCACTTTGCCTTTACGGGGCAGGGTGTAATTGTGTGACAAGTAACCAGAAAGAGAGATTCTTGGAGTGGGTTGCCATGTTAATTAGGGCATAAAAGTGATGGCAAGAACACGAAGCCAGTCTGTGAGTAGCTGCAAGACACAGCGCTGGAGCTGCCGACGTGTGTTGTGCCCAAGCCAGGCCGTGCTCCGAACTCGGCGTTTTGGGAAGCGCGGCGATGAGCTGCTCAGCAGGCTGCGCTGGGGCCAGTTTGGGTTGGGTTTATTTATTAGTTCTTCTGTGCCAGATCTAGGCTGGCTTCAGCCAGTGTCGCTCAGTTTTCTCTGTTGTGGGCTTGCTAGTACGTCCAGTGAAGTGAGCGTCACCCGTGGGGAGCGAGCTGCCTTCGTCTGAAGCCAGCTTAGGTCTGATGTCTTACCAGCTCCGGCTCTCTGCCATGTGAAAGTAGCTAGATTGTTCCCAGCCACAAAGTGTCTCTGGAAGCTGCGTTAGGTGTATTTATGTAGTTCTGCACCTGAGCTAATAAACCCAACTGGATTATAATTTTGTGGAGCCAGCACAGTGCTTGTGTCTCGTCAAGGTTAGCGAGAAATCGGCTAGAAATACGTATAGATAAATGGGAATTGACTACATTTGACTTCTCTCTATGTATTCTGGTGTCTAATGCAGTTTTAGACCCTGATACGCTCTGAAGGTACAAGTTTGATCAAACTTTAATCACCTAATTTTAGATAATTTGAAATCATTGTCATGACGCAGCTGTAAATTAGTTGTGGTTTTCATTTTTTTCTAACTGGATAACACATTTCAATTTAACTGGTGCTCGGTTAGACCTCTTCTAGCTGCTTCATCTGCTTCCTTGCCATTGAGGAAAAATGTCAACGAATGGGAGGCATTGTGCTATAGTAACTTTTGTGTATATGCAGAAGATATCACCAGTATTTTTCCCTGTCCAAGAAATCATCGATCCAGTAAACATGTGCTGTACCATTTGGCCACAGGGATGTGTCCCAGAGCACAGTACAGGAATGGAAAAGAGCATGGGAGAAAAACAGCAGGTGTGAAAGCATTCCTACAGAGTAAGCCTAGCACTAATGACCTGTTTGTCTTTAGCACTAATGACCTGTTTGTCTTCAGCAGCAGCAGGTTTCGGGGGACAATTACAGAAAGCACTGAGGCAATAGGTGGTTGGTTGTTGAGCTTTTTAGTTTCTTAAAGACAAACTTTTAAAGGTTACAGGAATTTTTATTAGGAGTCCAGTGAACAGCCATTCTGTCAAAAAAGCACAGGTACATTCACATATTCCTCCGCTGACAAAAGGCTAAATCAGATGGACTAAACAGAAGATTACATTGAACATGTGCCTCTGCTACATAGAAGACTACATAGAACATTACACGGAGGAGTTACTGTGTCATTCTCTGAACATCTTTTTGGTTTGAAGAGGGCTGCATCCAAGGATCATTCCTGTGAGAATGATTAGTAAGTGGGTTCTTTGAGAGAGAATTGCAGGATCTGGATAAAGATGACAAGTCAGAGACAGTCTCTCTGGTTCTTCACAGTATTTCTGTTTCTTCTTTACGTACTTAACCTTTTTTTATTTTATTTATGTCTTCATGCAGTAGAAATTTCAGGAAAGTTGTGAGAAAAACTGTTGACATTCTTTAATCATCATGTGACTCAGTGTCACTCTTTAAAAAAAGAAAAATAAAAAAAAAAATGGCAGAAGCCTGTCATATGCATCTTTTTTATTTGATTTTTTTTTTTTAAATTTGGCTGTGATGTTGCAAAATAATGACAGAGTTTCTTCATAGTGATATTCCCAATTCTAATATTTCTTTAGGTTGTGGAGAGCACCTTGTCCGAACCATACTAGCCAGAGAATGTTCATGTGCTTTGCAAACAGAAGATGCCCACCAAGCTCTCCTAGAGACTATGCAAAACAAGTTTATTGGTAAGTATATGGTGCTAATTGCCTAAACAACATTGTTTAAAATGCAATTAACCCTATTAAATAAAGTTAAGATACTTATTTTTGTGATTTCTGTTGAAGCCTTACGTTGCAGTTGGCTGTAAATTTAATGTTGTGTTACATCTAAAAACGTTAAATCAAACTACAGAAGAATTTTTTATGAAATCTAAAGGAAAACCCTAGGAAATATCTTAACTGTTACATGAATCATAGAATACCTGGAGAGCTTTGAAGAAAGAATTTCCTGCCTGAATCAGTGACTGTAGTGTACAATTGCATGTTTTAGATTTGGTGGTTTAGAAGCATTAATAATTATTCATCATGTTAACCTCAAAACCACTGCATATTCTAATTAAATGTTTTGGACAGACAGATTCTGTTTTTTTATTTACATGATGAAATTAATTTATTGAAAAAGTGAATTCAAGACTATTTTAAGGTATAACATTTTTTTTTCCTCGATTTGAGAGGATTACACATGACTACTCATACATGTCTCATTTCTTAAGAATATATATTTTATTTTCTTTCTTCAAGTCATAACCAAAATATGAATGTGGAATTTTAAAATATCTATATAAGCTTGAAGTTCTGAAGATAGCATAGATTCCAGTGAGGCTTCTGTCATATATCTTGACCTGCACTACTTTATAGCCCTTAAAATTGTTGAAGCTTTAGAATCCACAGACAATTTTGGTCTTCAGAATTTCTTGTGGACAGCATACCACTTCTTGTGCACCATGTTCCGAAGTTCATTTTTATGGTATTTTAATTAGAACTGAAGGAGGGCCATATGCATACCTTTTGGGGACTCAGGAACCGTTGCCCTTGGTCTTGGCAAGCAATGTGTTCCAATTTCTTTATTTCTGTTTATAATGTTGAATCCATATTAAACTCCACTTCTGTCAGTGTTACATTTGACTGAGGGGAAGCCACCTTCTCAGTGGAAGGCTGCGCTTGATAATCCACTGCTTGATTGCAGTCATTTCTCGGTGCTGTACGGATGCAGAACAAAGTAATCCTGGTATGTTCCCCGGAGAGATTATAATCTAAGCAGCACAAATGTAATTTTTTGTATTTAATCAATTATTCTAGTCCACAGTGGCACAACATTGGGGATTTATTTACCCCGGAGAAGCCTTTAGGAAGGATGCCTGTGATAACTTTGCTAATTTGTAACACTGCTCTGAAGGTGTGGTATGGGAGTGGCGTAACTTCAGGGAAGACAGAGCTTTAGTCCATGCTCTCAAAATTTATTGTGCTGTTTGTGGTAGGAATTCTAAAAGCAAGCACAAATTGTACATGTTCTTATGCAGTTTCATGTTAGTGCATGCACACAAAATAGAAAGCTACTGCCAGAGTAATTCATAGAAACTGGCTGAATTACTCTGCAAAAAAATTTAGGAACTTTTTAGTTGAGGTACCTCCTTTAAGCTGCTTTGAGTTTTCTGGCTTTCCTTTTGAGTAACTGTTAGCAAAAATGCAATTCTTCTCTTGCTGTTTAGTCCAAATGAATTTTGCTAGCAGTTTGCATAGCAGATGCTTTTATTTTAAATGTTGACTGGCTAGTATGTGATATATACATTATATTCTTTACTGAAAATGTGAAGATGTTTGTAATGGATTTAAGTGCATATTGAATGTTGCTAAAGTTTTTGTTATACCTGAAACTATTAATTTCAGAGAAACAAGAGCTGCAGAGCCAGAGATACCAGGTTAACAGTGTGATGTCATATTGCCATGGGAAAACAGACTGAAACCGACAAAACAGGGGAGAGTGAAAAGATTGACAGTATCAAATTAATGCTTTGCATGATAGGAAAACTTGGGGAAAAAAAAAAAAACAACAGTAGTTTATAATTCCATTTTAAAGTTTCATATTTTAATTAGGGGTAGGTCTGTCTTGTATTTTCAGAAACTTATCACTGCAAGTTTTTGTTGCCTGACAGGAGGTATGTGTATTATCTTCTCAGCTGTACTTTGGGGCAGTGCTGATATGGGGGAGGGGGAAAGAAAATAGAGCCACCTTTTTTTTTGTGTAGGTGAAGTGCTTGGATTATGTGTTTTGATTAGAAAACATAAAATCTAGTTTGCCCTCAGCTGTTCTATGTTTGAAGACTGGTTGAGGGAAAACCTCAAACTCCAGGTACATCTTGCTGTTTACCTGTGACAGAGTGTTCAGTTTTTAGCCAGTAGTGTAATTTTGGGGGATTTTGGCAATTCTGAAGATGGAATGTAAAGTTATGTCTTGCTAATACAGTGCAACAGTTGAAAACATGCATTACACTTAAAACAATAGGCTTGTACTAAATAGTTTTTTTCCCTGTGGATTTTCACAGATGATATGCTAGTTGGTATCTCAGGATATATGATATTTCTTACCATTGTGAAGCGATAGGATAAAACAGGCTAATAGCCCACCTGCTGATAGCATGGATTCTTTCCTTTCTAGCCTTTCTTAAAGCCCTATTTTGTGGTCTTGTCAAACTTTCACCAGAATTATAATGGCCCAAGGCCAAAAAAAAAAAAAAAAAAAATGCTTGAACAAAGCAGAGCTAGAATGTTTTGTCAGAAGTCAAAATGTGCGTTACTTGTATTGGAGGGGTGAACAGCTGATTTTGGCAGCTGCCATCAGATTGGTGCTTCCTGTTTACAGAGCTCTCCGAGCCTCCGCGGAGCCCTGGGAATCCTTCCAGCTAGGGAATGCCTGGCTTAAACAGTGAGTGCTGTTTAAGCAGCAGGTGATGAACAAACTAATGGCAGATGTGCTTCTCTCATTCTTCTCAGAGCCAGCTTACTATGGATAATGCACAGTTGAAGGCAGAATTGGAGGTGAGAGAAATTAAATTTAGATTTTTGTAAATCGAATGGGCTTGATATCTGTAGTTGAAGAGCACCGGAGGCTTGGTACGCGGTCGAAGAATGCTGTTCTATAAACACAGATACCTTCCAAACAGAAGAACAGAGGATTTTGTTACTCATCATTCCTTTCAAATGTGGCCAAGTTTGTGGAATGTAGACTTAGAGTAAATGTTTGTGTCATCTCACTGGCGGGAAATCTGGGCTTTTAACAATGGCAGTGTTGCAAATTGTACATTAAAGCTTCTTATAAAGTATTAGAAAATAATGAGCTGAAAGACACAGTTGGACTCTGATATTTGTTCTTCCCTTAGCAGAAATATGTTTGTCTAGTCTTGTATTTTTAATTTTTGCTTCTGTTCACAAATGAGTAATGTCTGCAGAAAGGTAATAGCAGATGGATAACACTGACACTTTCTCTTTTAGAAATGTTGTGTCAAGTGCCTCTCTTGGGAGCAGGAGTTTGGATAGTTAGGAATCATAGAATATGAATTTCTTGATTTTGAGTTATGCTTGTTGGGGGGAAAAAGCCTCATACTTAACCAGTTACAAGCCTGACAGAGACTGTCATTGCACAGTGTTATTGTTGCTTTATATTTTGGTGCTGCATCACTCTAAGCTTTATAGCAACCTTTGTGGTTTTGCAACTTAGGAAGCATGCTACGGAAGCGTTATTAGGTCTTCTCCATGACACAGAGGAAAAAGTTTGAGAAGTGAATGAAGGGATCCTGAAGTTTCATATAACCTGTTTTATCCGTTGCCAGTTTATGATTTCACAAGTTTGTATTTGATGGTAGACAGAATTTAATAGATCTCTTTGTTACCTGTACAATAAAACAAGCTGAAAAACTAACACAACATGGTAATGTTACATGAGGGTTTGTCTAGGTCATGCCTGTGCTTCTCTTTGTCAAAAGAATTGGGATATTATTGGACCGTGGTATCCTCAGTTATTTAATTTCTTAAAATCTGAACTGTAAAGTTGGAGAGTACAGGTGCTTTTTCTTGCAGCTTCTTTAAAAAAATCTAAACAGATGTTTTAACTACCTTACTTATCGTGAAATAAGATCTCTGGTTTCAGACAGCTTGTGCTTCAACATTTAACAAATAATGGTGCATGAAATTAAAAGCAGGCTTCATTTAGTGCTTTTATATTCCTCTAATGTTTATTTAAGTTGTTAGCTTAAAGTTTAGTGGGATACCTAGCAGAAGCAGGGTGGCAAGCACCTTCACTTTAAACATGTTCTGTACACAAGCTGACAGAATCCAGTGCCATGGGTGATCTATAGATTATTGACCTGAAAAAACATGAATTTGACTCACATTGCAGCACAAGAAGGTTTAGAAGTGTTTAGCTGCACTCATTTAAAACTGGGGGATGCTGAAGTACTTAATTGGTTACACCATGCCACAGTCAGTGAGTGTTTAGAGCAAAGTTCTGAAGGCTTTGAAGGCTAATGTAAGCAATGAAGCTGGTAATGGTTTCACTACTACGGAAGAGTATGAATGTAAAACATCTGATGAACAGCTGGTTAGTCCTTCAGCTGAGTAAGTGTTAAATATAACACTTCTTTTACAGTTTAGTATTGAATCTGGGCTAGAACACAGCTGTTCAGTAGCTACGAATGGGAAAAAAAGCACGGGATCAGAAACGAACATCTCGTCTCGATCACATGCTCTGGAGGAAGCAATCTTCACCATCAGAGCAGTTTTATTTACAAGAGACGTAAAAGAGAAAAATATTCTTCACTTGTAGTTCTAGTTCCTCCAGAGCAAGGCTGAATGTTGAGGCTTTATTTGCCATAATGCTTGTGAAATCTGTATGCTTTATCCCCAGCCTGAGGCTGCGCCGGCGCCTTGGTGGGCAGTTATGGTTGCTGTTGCAGTGCTTGATGGGATCAGTGAATGCGGAGGTGCTGTGAAAACCAGTTTGCTTCTTTTTAAGAGACCATTACTGCAGGTTAATAATGTACTAAAGATATAAATAAAAAAACTGGATACTGCTTTCTACTTGTCTGATAGCAATAACAAAGTAGTTGAGCTTTGCAGAAGGGAAATCTGTTTCGTAAAATGTAATTTTGTGACCGGGGGAGATGAGGATAAAACCAAAACTATTGAAAGATGGTTTTAGTTTGTTTTTTTCCTACCCCTTCTCTCTGGTGTGGCCAGTCAGTGCTAACATTATTAGTTATTGCTGTAGTTGAAGTTTTGCTTTGGATTTTTCATGCCACATTCTTGAGTGGTATGCCAGTGTAACTGGGAAGGAACAATGAGTTTCATGAGTCTTAAGATGATATTAAAAGCCCGAGGTTTTTGTAGTTTTGTCATTAGCAAGCTATTAGATCAAAGATTTGTCCAGTACTTCTATTTTACTGCAGTAGAAAAAAATATTTTTGGCTAATAGGCATGTTTTGTTTTATTTTACCTAAATTTTTAATTGTACAGCAAAATCTATCATTCTTAAGAGTACAGAGAGTACAAAAAAGGTGTAGGAATGTGGGAGACAGATTGCTTCTTCCTTCTAATGAAAAACCGTTATGGCTTTAATATACATGGGAATATCTCAGTTGCATCTTTTCTTTCTGTTTAAATACAAATTAAACATAATGTATATGGGAAAATGCCATTACCTGTATCATTAATTTTTGGCATAAGTCTGCATTATTATTTATTTCTCTCAATGGCTTGTCTGTAACAAAATGAATTTTAGAACTAAATGAAATATATTCCAAACCTTTGAATTTACAGTGTTTTGAAAACACTCAATTCCTGTGTACAGTGCATGAATTCTGTTTAGAACTAAAGTATAATGCTACTTTTGTACCATTAGTTTTACAGATTTAATGATGGATGCATAACATTCAGCTGTCTAAAATCTTGCTTAACATAAACCTACTCACTTGCACTGTATTGTTGTGTTAAAATACACTCTTTAATATAATTGTAATCCTCAGTCATAAGTCTGCATACCCAGAAATATCTTTGTTTAAAAAAATACTAATACATTTGAACGTTTCTTTTAACTTTTTTTTTCAATTGCTTTAATTGGAAAATAAAATACATTCTCTGTTTTAAAGAACGTGCTGTTCAGTGTGTATTTAATTTGGCTTAGAGTCTGATTTTTAAGACAGGAGAAACAGTCTGTGTGAGTTTACTGTAATGTAGAATACTGTAACGTTATTACTGTAGGCAACTGGTTTTCACTGCCACTATTTAGAGGTTGATTCCCCACAACTCAGCCAGTGTAGTGAATTGGGGGCACATACTATAGCGTTGCTGATTTTGCCCTGAGATGGTTCAGCTGAAATTGCTGATGGAAGCAGTTGGAATGGATGAGAGTGTAGTCACACACTTTGCTTCTGATGGCTCTGTGGATGGCGGCCTTTAGCAGAAGTGGGGAAACAGGTGGCCTGTGGGAGTGGTGTGGGTGAGAAGGTTGTGAACCATTGAAGGGTTTGTGTTTGTGTCTTCATTTGCTGCTTGTGTTTAGAGGTGAGAAGAAAGGATATGTTCTTGTTTCAGACTTTTTCTCCTTTCCAGAATAACGTTCATTCTGCAGCTGATGATAAAATGGTGTGGAAGAGTAAAATTTGGCCTTGCATTGTTCTTTTTTAAAAAAAAAAAAAAAAAAAAAAATCTTTAGTAGCTCAACTGGCAATAATCTCAGTAATTTCTTGAGTTGCAACTGTGTTTTGGCTCAATCTCTGCTGTTATGGTTCCTAACCATGGCTGGCTGCAACAAGGAAGCTGACACGATCCCATCTCTTTCATTGTTGTGTTGGAGCATATTGGTCAAGGTGCTACAAATGAAAGTAGCCTGTAGGCTCTGCGTTTTGAGGTTGTGCACCACTGGGCATGTAACGCTGTGTTTCCATCTGTAGAAGGGAGATAACACATCCCCTCTTCTTCGCTTTGTTCGCATAACACAAACTTTTAAGACATTTCCTGGTTTAATACTTCATTAAAATTATCCACTACAAGTCACTCAAAGACGTTTCACTCATCTCTATATCACCCCAGTACTACCGTTATGGTCAATTCTAACAAAGTTAGTGCAGTAAGACCTTGTCTCATTTGGCATAAACAACATTTATCCTTACTCCAAGGGCCCAACTTGTGTTTATTCTTAAAGAAGTCAGCTTCTTGCTGATCTGGTGTGTTTTATGAGTGCTGAAGTTAAAACTATACTTTATCGTGTGTTTATCACGCTTTTGTCATGCACAGCGCCAATAAATTAACCCTCCTCTTGACTTTTCTAGTTGAAATAACAAGAGAGTGGCAAAGCACTTCAGCAAAGGCTGAATGAATACAGGCAGCTTTCTAGCTTTTGAGTGTTTAGCAGGGACTTCAATGCCTTTGAATTTTGTGGACTGGTAATAAAGCTTCCATGGTGCATAAGCAGTGAAGAAAGTAACTTGGTTCAGAAAACAATTGTGTACATATTTAGGGCAATACAATGGACAGCATGTCTGAAGTCAATCAATAAATGCTATTTATGCTGGCAGAACTGGTGTTCAGAACACATGAGCGCAGTTGTGCATACATAGGTGCACGTGCATCTTTGCATACATCTTTGGATGAAATTGTAAGCTTAAGAGTTTGTCTTACATGCTTGAAGCTCAAGTTTTAAATTTTTTAACCTCTCTTTAAGAAAAGCCTCAAAACATACACTTTGAGAGATCACTTGTCTCATTCTGTACTCCACTGAAAAAAATGAACAATTTTGTTCTTGCAAAGAAATCCCTGTAAAAATTAAATAATTCTGTTGAAAATGTAATGTTACATGTTTTGCTGCAGACTCTACATGGAAAGAAATATACTGCCAAGTCTTCTTTTTAATTTAAAAAGAAAGAGCCTAGCATGTGCAAGTTATTCAGATTATTGAAAATTTGATCAGCGGTGGTGGCACATAGTTGACAAAAATGCTGGGAAAAGGAAGAAATATGTGATAGGTTTATTTACAGACTTTCCTTTCATCTACTCTTTCCTGAGTGTGGGAAAAAGAAAAACACTGAAAAAAAAAAATACTAAGTAATAACCCAATGTAAGCATTTCTAGAACAACACATCAGTGTCATCAAGTCTAAAATCAGTAGTTGCTGTCTGGTTTTGTGCTCATTCATACAGTCATAGTGTTTTAGTGTGACCTTAAATATGATGCCTGCTTTAAATACTGTTTGCTGGCTGTGTTCTGCTGAAGTAGAATGTTTTTAACCATTCTAAATAAAGAGATTGTCAGTATTTTTCACTGGAACCTTGAAAGAACCTTTCACAGGCCTTGAAAGGAGAGAAATATTGCTTATTGAAAAACAAACCAAAACATTTTCTGTCTGTTTGCAATGACTTTTCACTACAGCATGGCTTAGAGCCTGAATAATTTATGCATTTAAGACTAGCTCAGCAGACCAAGTTCAGGTTAAGACATTGTCTTTGAAATACCTGAGTTTCTGAAGTGAAGGATGTATGTCCCCCATGAAGAAAACCACTTCATTTTTGTTCATTTGCTTGCAGAAATCTTACCACATACATAGCCAGCACTTGGTTAATGCAGTGAAAGTATGAGAGATACTTATTATCTTGGAAGCATGGAGCAGAAGAATATGATCTGGGTGGTAAAACTCCTTACAACTTCTCAGGCCTTACATTTCTATTTTAACCGAACATATTTTCCTGTTTTGTTACCTATTACGTTATGATTGGCTGGATTCTTGGTTCACAAGGTTGCAGTCAGTGAGTAATAGAGTAGGTGTAATTAGTACCTAGGAATACTTCTTATACAAAGCAAGGGGTGCTTTAAAGTTAATATCTGTTTGTATTAGATCAAATAAGATATTACTGTTTATTAAGCATACCACACATTATTTTCCCGCAATATGGGTATCTATTGCAATAACCACCTGGTATCACTTTTGAACACGGCTGCTTTTATGTCAAGAGAAAACATGGTAAACCTTTTAATTTTCCTTACAGTAAAGCTTGAAGTTGATTCTCACTGTTTTGTTGTTGTTTGCATTAAAAGAGCAATTTTAATTGTACAAATATCTGTCAGCAAGTTGAAGGAGGCTGATGAGTAGATCTGCTCTAAAGTTCTTGTGGCCAACAAATCTAGTCTGTACACTAGACGTAGTATACTAATTTATTTAAAAGAAAATCATTGAAAAGAAGTGTATGAAATGCCTGTTGCAGTTGTACACTCAACTAATTCATAGTGAATTGCAAATGTGTGACTAGGGTCTCTCTGGGCTTAAGTGCAAGAACTTGATTAATTTTGTGGTTCAAGACATTTTAAATCATACGTAAATCATACCATTGTTTCCACATTTAAAACTATAGGAACCTCCTTTCAAATTATAAACCAGAAAAAGTATACTTAGACTTGATTCAGCTAGCTTTAAAATTTTTCCAGCTTCTGATAAGAGATGTTTTATATCATATGTCTTAAATTAACAACAGAAAAGCCACTGTTAGAAGTAGGATGTGTTTTGGCCCTTCTGCTAATATTCATAAAACAGCAAGGAAGACAGCCTATACAAGTTTGATGGTGTCTCTGTACAAAGTGCTTTAAATTGGGAAAAATGAATAAACTGTAAAAGTGACAATTTACTTGATTTTTTTCATATGTGGCCATCTTTAATTATAGTACAGAAAGAACTAAATATTGAGACGTTTCTTTTTTTTCAACTTGACACTCCATTTTTCATTATTATATCTTCCTTGATCCATGTACAAATGCTTTTGTACTCACAAATGTAATTTCCAGTATGTTTTTTTTTATTCCATGTAGCTCTTTTTCCTTTTTTGATAAGTGGTAGATCAGTAGATTACTATTTAGAAAGTTACTCACTAGAAGCACTAGAAAAAATAAAACTAATGCTTTTGTAAAAGCACTGGCCAACCTGACAGTCTTTTCAACCTTCTGTGACAAGATTAAAGGGGGAAGGCAGGAAAGTCAAATAAAAAAATACCCAAGAAACTATTCCTATGGCAAATAATTCTCCCCAACGATTTTACCCAGGTTCACCTTTTCTAGCCAATGAAGACGGTGTACTCGGAGGTGTGATAGTTCTTCGGTCTTGCAGGTGTTCAGCAGAGCCTGAATCATCACAGGAAAAGCCAACTTTACTAGGTGAGAAATTCTTACTCATTTTTACTTGAGCTAGGTGCTAACTCAAAGTGAAAGATGAAATAAAAGCTGTCTATGCATGTTTACCATTGTTCAAAGGCCTCAGAGAAAACAAAAAGGAATTGAAGTTGTTTGAGATGATAAAGCTCTAGAAAGCAAAATAGTAGTATTAGCCTTTGTTCTCTAAAACTGTGGAAAAGAGAATTCTTTCTGACTCATTATTTCTGAGCAGAATTGTGATTCAGAGGGTTGTGTGGGATCCTTCTAAAACCATGGCATAGAAATAACGGTTGCCTGTGGTGAGGCAGGGTATGTTCCTCATAGAAAAAAAATGCATTTTTAGCTAGGGGTAATACGTGTGACTGTTTAGTGCTTCTCGGTGGTTTATATGCTAAAAATTCTACCTAAAAATAAAAGTTCTTTGTTCCTCCTTTTTGCAGGACAAAATGTGAAAATTTGGAGGATACACTTAAAATTTGGAAAAGAAATTGTTTTAAGGTTAGAAATTTTTTGTTACGCCTAGGAAAATCTGTTCAGACAAGTCGTAGTTACCATCTGCATGTGCAGACAACAGGAATACTGTACTTCTGCAGAAAACTGTACCTCTCCGTCAGTAGCTGACTGGTTAAAAGGCTCTGAGCTTTACAGCCCTTCAGCCCCGTTTGTGTCCTAGAAACAAGAGCCTCATCTGCCTCGCTGCTTTACAGCAGAACACGTGTGTTACAGTAAACTGTCAGGTGGTTTGTCATATAGAAAGAGCCAGGAGACTGAAGGCTGGAGGCTACGAGCAGAGGTGGGTGGAAATAAAACGCAGAGATGGTAGAGCCCATGTTGCCCTCTGAAGGCAGGGATCTGGGGCTCGGGGCACGCCAGTTGCATCAGCACGGTGCTTGTACCAGCTCCTTTCCCGAGGTGCTCCTCTGATGAGGGCGTATGTGTCTGGTCATCTTATGGATTGGGTCACATGGGCCTGTCTAATATATATTTATGTTATGCTACCAGAATTAAAGCTTTTTCCCTTTGTATAAGCCTCTGCTTTATTGTTCCCCCCAGCATTTAAAGAATTGCTGTCAGTATCATTACGTATTTGAAGTAGCTTTCATATTTTTTAAGATCCGACATGGCAGATTTGATCACCTAACTTTGTGTATTAAGGCAGGTCATAGCATCTCACCTGGTAATTCTTGAATTGCATAATTTCTTTTTAATCTATAGGCCATTATTTAGAAAGACACTTCACCTTCGTTTTAATTCATTACCGCTTTAGCCCCACTAAATCCTAATGTTGTGTCACCAGAGTTTGCCTGCTTACAGCCAGCCTGGAGTAGCAGGCAGTGTGTGCTAAAGGGGAGCGGGCAGATATCTTCAGAATGATGGGTTAACCCACACAAAATCCAGTATTTATTGCTGTCTGTTCAGTGACTTCCAGGATGTCAGGGTCAAGCTATTACAGTTGCACAGGATAAGGTGGATGTTATCTTTCAGTTTTGTTCTCATATTACACCTTGCTGGTTTGCGTTACAAGAAACTTCAAATAACACATACTACTTTGTGTGCATTGAGTTGGGTCTGATCATATGCCTCCTCCAGTCATTCACTCTAATAGGTAATTTTGCTCAACACAGTTAATTACATTCATGTCTCTCTACCCATCAGCTGAAGTTTATGTGTGTTTTATGCTTTTGGTCAAACTCTCATCTTATCTATAAGAGTTTCATGTATGTTTATTTTGCTATTACAAAGAACCAGAGATTTGGGAGGTGAATCCTTACGATTCTGATGATGGTTCTGGGATTATCCTGATCGACAACAAAGGAATTTTGGAAGGCTTGGCTGGGAAAAAGTTTAAGAAATAGCTTTTGGGTGTTATATTTTTTGGAGTTACTACTTGAATAGCTTGGGTTTTTTTGAAGTAGACTATGAAATTGACTTTGACAATCATCTTACTCTTGTCTTCCAACTATTTGAAAGCCAAGACTGTCTAATCCTGACTCCAGAACCAGGGCACGGGTTGCTAAACATACAGATAATGTTTCAAGTTTGATTTACAGTTTTCAGATTTAAGAATGGAACAATTGTGATGTACTGATCTAGTAGAAAAGCATCCTACAACATAAATTCTACCCCCAAAACAGAGTTAAGAAAATGAAAATACAAGTTTGATTAAATAAGAACAAACAGGATCAATTTAGCCTTCCATTCCTTATGTTTGGAAGTGAGAGAATTATTTCTATTCATTTAATGTTTGTCATTCATGTAAGAAAACATGTTCATATTAAGATAGATTTGTTATTTTTTCCTCAAAAAATGATAAAGAAAATCCCCATATATCGTATATGATAAATTAAGTCTATTTGTCCACTGATTTTTGGTATTCTTTTCACTGAAGTAAGATTCATGTAGCACAGCTTATTCTAAAGATATTTTTTCTGTACTGTAGAAATTTCCTGCCTTATAGTGTACGTTGAGTTAATGTATCATTAAACATATGTAATATTTGTGTTCTTTGGACTGAAAATAAGCTGTGTAATATGGAAGATCTGAGTCTATAGAATAACGAAATCTCATGTCTTTGTTGTAAGGATCTTTATTATTTTTTGTTTAACTATTGAAAGAAATTGCAAGGAAGTGATTTATTAAATGGTTGAAAATATGTGAAATGTCTTCAGATAAGTATGTAATTTAGGTTTTTCATTGTAATTCCACTACTTGCTATAGCTAGCAACAACCATGTTTCATGCTAGTACATGCTACCTTAGGTGGACAATGTAGAAGGAAGAAAAATACTAAACACTTAAAAGAGTATGCCTAGAGTTATCAAAGGCAAAGAAATATTTTGAGGGTATTTGGCCTGAGCTGTTGCTCAACTTCTCAAAATTGAAAGACAAGATTAAATTTCTCTCCAAAAAAAGAAATGCTTTCACTGACAGTTGAACCTTTAGGGTGTTAGGGAGGGGTTGGCCTCATCGAATGCAGTTACATCGCACTAAATATGTTTCAATTTCTGAAAGCTTTTGACTAACTTTTGGCGATATCAGTCATGATGAATCTATTATGGGGGGAGAAAATCACATACCTAAATGAAGTTCATTTTTCTTTTATGATGATGTCTACGTATCTGTCAGAATCTCAGAGTCTTGCTGGGTTTGTCTAAACTTTGATCTTCCACTCAGGGTTAATTGCTGTGCAAGGATAAATGGTTCAAAGATAAGCACACTCAGCACACTGTGACCTTCTTCACTCATGTTAAAGGAACATGAGGAATAGAAATGAGTGAGAGTTTTAAAACCATCTAATGATGCTTTTTGCATCATGTGAAAGTCTCTCTCCAAAGAAATACTTGGAAATTGGTTTTCATGACATCTTGTGTGATTCATGTAAGACTCCTCCTGTAATGCAAAGGAAAAATTTACACTTCAGTGCCATTTCTTAAATCCTTTACAGTATTCTGTGAAACATGCTGGATTCTGATCAGTGACTCATTCTTTCTTTTTCCCCCCTCCAAACTGTGTACTTAATGAACAGAAAGAAAAATGACTGACACAGAGCAGGAAGAATGTAGTGATTTATAAAGCTCCATTAGGTGGGAACATATGAATAATTTGGTTTTTGTCTGAATTTTGTGTTGCAACTGAGTAAAGGGCTGTGTGGGTGTGTGTGGGTGTGTATATAAAGATATCTATGTATGTATCAGGGAATTAAAGATCACTGTAACGGGCTGTTTAAATGTCTGATAGATCAGGCCACTTTCAAACTTCAAAACAACACCTTACTGGATTCACATGCATTAACAATACACATTAGCAATAGTTAGTTTTCTTAATCATTACCACTACAAACACAAAACTTTCTGTCTTTAACATTTATATCCTAAATTAGCTGTGAGTGTCCAATACCAGAGAGCTGATGCTATGTAGCAAGGGCTAGAAGTCAGGGTGATCAGACCTGAGAGTGCTTTGATGGAGAAGCCAAAATCAAAATGGGTTCATTTGTTCTCCATCTTTCTTTCCTTTCATACTTTTGATGCTCCTTACCCTCGCCCCAAACAAAGGGGGGGTGATTGCGTATGCTCTCGGTATAATTCAGCTTACTTTTGGGCCCAGGTCTTGCTCTTAATTTTGCCAGGCATCTTTCTTGCTTATTGTGCAGTGTGATTCTGCTTCCATCAGCAGACATCTCCTGCTTCTTCTGCAGGATTATTTTGCTTTCACCAGATTTCTTTCCTGCCTGCTCTATATCTTCAGTTCTCATCTTGCAGACTTTACTACTTCTGCATGTTTTCCTGTATCCTACTTGTGCAGCTAAACCGCAGATCTCCATTTCCTCACTGGTAGTTACATATTATGTATATATTTATGCTCAGTTCTGTGAAAAAAATGCTTGTTACGGGTTATGCTGTTGATAGCAGTACAATTCTGCAGAATCCTTGTACGCCATCTGGGTTCATGCTCTTGTAGTGTGCTTGTGTCTGGGTTCAGGGCAATCAAATGCAAATTGTATCTGCTTCTACTTTATGGGTGGAACAGACCTCTGCTTTAAAAGTTGCTCCTGTCTTTTAACTGTAGTTGCAGTTGATGTATTTTTCATCTTGGAGGCTCCATATCTATGAAGTAATGTTTTCATTCTGGGTATTAGTTCTGCAGTGTGGGACTGCAAATAGCGCAGGAAAATTTTGTTTGTTTGATAGCTGTTTCCTTTGAGATTGAATTATTCTGGTAAGTAGTTTTTGTTCTTTAAGTTTGTTTTCTGTCCTTTCCCAAACACTATTTTAAGCTGTATTTGCTTCTCAAGATTCCAGTCGTGTTAAATTACATTTTATATATTAAACCAACACCTTTTTTGTGACTTCTTGCATTTTTCTTTATAGTGGAATTTCTGTGGAGCCATACAACAGAGAGCATGTGTGTAGGATATATGTCTGCACAGGATGGCAAAGCTAAGGTAAGCCACGAAGAAGAGGTTGTAATACTGTAGAATGAGTGCAGAAGCTAAGGAGAATATGAAATGATGATAATGAAATATATAAGAAATTTCTATCTTTAAGAGAATGGAAAAAGTAATGGATGTGTAAGCAGCTAAATATATGTATTGATTGGGCATTTCTAATTCCTTTTTTTTTTTTTATAATTGCAGCAGTCAACAAACCTATGCTAACATATGTATTCTATCAGGAAAAGATGCCACAGACACTTTTCCATTTCTTTCTTCTGCTGACAATAATTGTATTTGAATAACTAGCTTGATTCAGTTATACTGACTAGGTTGGTACAGTATTTTTCTATTGGCATGTCTTCATTCAGATAAAGCATTTGCACCAAAGAAGCAGGGAGAGGGTATAAAACGAACCTTGAGGCAGTCTCTAGAATAGCCTCTCTGGTAAACAATTAACATTGATGGTTTAGTTTTTTGGAGTCTTCTTTTCTTTTCTGGAATAAGAGAAATATTATTTCAAAACTGAGTTTAGCAGTGGATACTGGAAAAATCCTCAACATGGAACAGTGGGGATTAACCAGAGGATAAGAGCCCTCTACTCTTAGGAATAGAGCAATGAAAGGAGAAAAAGGCAGGGTTTGTGACACAGCAACTAGAGCACTTAGGAAAGGTGTTTGTGCAATGAGAATGAACATGGGAGAAGCTGCAAGCAGAGAGAAATTCATCATTTCTGTAGACCTTTATAAATGTACAACCATCAGTATTCAAGACTAAGAGTGAAAAATTTGAACTGATTAAAGGAAGTGACAAAAGCAGGGGGAAGAGCCAGAATAAGAAGGCTCCCTGATACAGTTAAACTAATAGGGGAGGTGGAGGTGTTTGCTGGAATATTTGCATCTATTAGAGAGATGACAGCCAGGAAGTTTATACTGGCAGATTGTATTTCCCCCTCTATTTAATTTGAGAGAGAAATACGAAGGAGGAGGTGAGAGATAAAAAAAGATCATCTAAAAGAAGGAAAATTGGCATCAGATATTTTAAGCACCAAGAATGGTGTTTGAAGCATTGGGATTGAATGAGTTCCTCCTCAAGGAGTAAAAAAATGTATAGAACAAAAGACAAGAATGCCCCAGAAGGAGGAGGAAGATAAAAGCAGCTGGTGAAGGAAGTGCTGGTAGAGCTGTTAGTGAAGCAGTCACTTTTCTGACTATGTACAGTTCTTTCCAGTTAATTATCCATGGAATAGAGTGTGGTTTCACTTGTTTTCTTAATATTTATTTCGGATTTATTAGAAAACAATCCAGACTGAAGCTAAAAGCTTGGACTGGACTGAGTGAAACTAAGGCAAGCTCAGCTGCAGATGTTCTAGTATTCATCTAATTAGTTTTAAAATCATTATCTTGTGTTTGCAGTGAAAGAAGAATTATTAGAATGTGCAATGTTAAATTATTCCAGTGTGCACACCTGCTTCTGGCTTACTCTGCAAGGCTCAAAATATTATTGTTTCTTCCTGGCTGTGCCTGTCTAATTAATAAATAAATGATAAATACGAAATCTGTCTGGTAATGAGTACTAGCATGACAGTGCCATGCCCAGAGATGTTTTCCTACTCGCAGTTGCAACATTTGACATCTGGTGTGCATTGTTTTCATACTGCTGGTAAATTCTCCAGCTGGTAATCTTGATTGCGCTGACAGACACAGCTGCTCTTCTTGGTTCACTTTTAAATTATGTTTTTGACCTTCATTGAAGAGTTAATCCCCCTCCCTTTCTTCCCTCTTTGAGTCTGTGGTCACAAATGCTTTCCAGAGAAAAACCACAAATGCTTTTGCTGCCGACTTCTATTGATCAAAAAAAGTCTGTCATAAAAGCTGGAATTTTATTCTGCTACAACTAGGACTAAGTTATAGATGGAAAACTGGGCTTGAAATAGAACACAATGTATTGCAAATGAAAAAAAAAAATAATTCCTTTAATAGAATAACTGTTTTGGTACAATTAATTTTGAGTGCTTGCCGTGAAAGAATAATGGTGTAAGAATTCATAAAAGTATAAAATATCACTTGTTTATGAGTACCATAGGAAAATGATTGGGCAGCAGCTTGTAGAGAAACATCTTACTTTCCTGTTTTTCTAGGGTGGTAAAGAGCTTCAGTTTTTCTTTCTTTCATCAATCTAGGACTCAAGTTTTATTCTTAAACCAAGGGATTGTCACAGTGGCAGATTTTGGGCTGGTTCAATTTAATGAACATGAAAGCACACTTTTGTAACAAGTCTTTTAGAAAGTGAGAAGGGTTTTAAGTATATACTGTTATGAGTTAGACTAATATTAGAATCATAATTATATAAAGGGGTACATACTAAGGAAGAAAAAGGATCCTGCTTTATAATCTTAGTGTGGTTCTTTGTGCTTTTGGAGGCTAATGCATTTCATAATAGGACCTAGCAAATGGTGGTCCTGAACCCAATGCAGAGATTGTGGAGATGTAGGAGGCCTTTTTCTTACAAGACACTTAGACACTTAGAAGCTAGATGCCAGCTCACCTGCAGACACTGGTATGCACGAGAGGTGGAAACACACTCAACCAAATAACTAGCAGCAGCTCCTGCAAAGAGCAGTGGGGCACGAAAGTGGAACCGGAGACCTGAAGTGGTTCGTACACCCTGACCTGCTGGCGCTCCTGACTTTTAGCGCTGTGAGCTCTCCAAGTACTGATTTAGAAGTTGCCTTGCAAAAGGGGTTTATTTCCTCCTGGGTTAGAAGAGACTGGGTTCTGCAGTTGGCCACTCACCTCCAAACTACACTGCCTGGTTGCTAACTTGCCAGCATAAAGTGGCTGACCCTGCAAGAGCTGTGGAACAGTTTTGCACAATGACTAATAATTGTTTGATTTAAAGCATGCTTTCTGTAAAGGTGGCCAGTCTTTTTTTGGAAAACCATTTGCCTGGAAAAGTCACTGTTTCCTGTCGCACATTGGTTTAAAATGTTTGGTTGAACGTTACTTTAAAAATACTGGGGAGGCTTGCCAGGTGAACTAAGTTCACACCTTATTGCTGACACGGTCGTCTCTGGTTGCATGACTTATTACTTGCCTTTAGTGTGCTCTCAGCACTGAAAAAGTATTTCATCTCCTCCACCACTGATAGCACTGCAATGTCACCTTCTCTACCTGCAAAGTTGAGATCTCATTGACTTCCTTCTGATTCTTATGCCCTTGAACCCTTACATCACTGCCACAAGCAGCTGATCAAAGCGTATACTTGCTGGTTCAACTGTGCTCTTCTTTGTTTCTTGTCATCCCTCTTGACACGAGCAGTTTCATAATCACTCAGTGCCAGTGTTTGTCACATAATGGATGTGGAAGGAAACAAACTTTCCATCTGAACAGATTTTACCCTTTTATATGCTTCTTGGAACTAACCTGTACCACCTATTGTTACAACTTATCTAGACTGGTGTCGGAGCCTCAGCTATGGTGAATTTAAGAGACAGATATATTCTGTTTTAGAAATTGCCAGTCCCAGATTTCCTTCCTGAAGCAATACCGTGACAGATTGTTTCAACATTGGGCCTGTTCTTTGGGAAGATGAATGGACTTTCCAAGATCTCCTGAAGCAAAGTTTCTGCATTGCCATCTATATAATGGTAGAATTGTCACAAAAGCTGACACTCAACTACTTCCATCCGTTAGTCAGGTTATTAGAACATTCTGGTCTCTGTGGAAGTTTCTGGCCACAGCCATGAGAATAGATAGAAAATACTAGTCTGTGGACTTCCTCTGCACTTACCCAGCTGCTTTTGTAGCAGTAACTGCTGCATCAGCAAAGGTTAAGACTTACAGATTGAAGGACTGGAAGATTAAATGACTTCATGAACTGAAGGGGTATGTTTTTTCTTTTTTGTTATTGTGATGTTGACTCATTGTCCTGGGTTGAGTGAGCGGTGGAGTTTTTTTGGTGGCAGGGGAGGAGGCTATAGGGGCATCCCCCTGGGAGAAGCTTCTCGAAGCTCCCCCAGCTCCAAGTCAGCTCCACCTCTGCACCAAAACTGAGCCCATCAGCTGCGCCTCTGCCAGAACGTATTTAAGAAGGGACGTGGTGAGGAGCAGTGGGACTGGTGAGGAGGAGTTGCTGCAGCTGCATGAACACCAAGGTCAGTGGAGGAACGGAGGAAGAAAGGAGGGGGGAGGTGTGCCGGAGCAGAGACCCCCCTGTATCCTGTGGGGAGACGGCAGGGCGGCCCCCCCTGCCACCCATGGAGATCTACGGTGGAGCAGACACTGATTTATGGCCTGTGTTTCACATAGATGATAAAGGTGACTGTGCCTGAAGAAGGCTGGGATCATATGGGAAGAAGCAGCCCCACTGCTGTAATTCAGCACTGGGAGGATTGCAGCATGCGGGGGAGTCCCACGCCGGAGCAGCTCGGGAAGGGCTGCAGCTGTGGGAGGGGAGAAAGTTGGAGAAAGATGGTGACCCATGACAGAGCAGTGTGGGGAACGCTGCGGCCCATGGGAGGGACTCATGTTGGAGAAAGTTTGTGGAGGACTGTCTGCTGTGAGAAGGAAGAAGCAGCAGCACTGACTGCACCCCCATTCCCTGCCCCTGTGCCACTGGGGGAGGAGGTAGAGATATCGGGAGCAGAACTGAGCCCGGGAAGAAGGGAGGGGTGGGGGGAAGGTGTTCTCAAGATGTGGCAATGCTTCTCACTGTCCTACTCTGTTATGTGTTGTTAGTGTCTGTAATAAATGTATGTTCTTTTTTTCTTCCCCTAACGGGTCTGCCTTTGGCTCATGATCATAATGGGTGATTTTTTCCCCATCCCAGTCCTATCTCAAACCCCAAGCCTGGCTCTCTGCCCCTTCTCATTGCCGAAAGAGAAGGGGGAGAGAGTGGCTGAGTGGTGGTTGGCTGCTGACCAGGCTCAAACCACGACACTCATGACTGACTTGATATGAATTTAAAATCTTTGATAGACAGCTAGCTCTATTAGATTCCCTGCCCAAACT